TTTCGTTTTCTTTATTCTTGTCCATGTTAAGAGGACCTCAGTCACACTCTTCTTCTCCGTCTTCTGTAAAGTACAAACTCTGAACATCCACCTGTGGAGCACACATTGTACTGTAGTACTACTTTGATGCAGCATATCGAGGACACTGACACATGACACATGCTGACCGGGCTTCAGGAAGGTTTTGGTTTAGAGGGATTGTTTGGCATTCAAATGGCGATTCAGGTTACAATGGTTGGAATGTGGCATTGTGAACGAGGAGAAGACTTTAATCCTAATTCAATGTGAGCTTTTGTGCAGTATCTCTCTTTGAAAAAACAGCAGCACACGCTGAGGGTTGAACACACAGACACAGAGGGATGTTGTAGCGAGTCTCTCACGCTGGAGAGAAGCGTCTCATCCCATTGTTGACAGCTGTGGTTGAGAAGTGAAAACTATTCATTCACATGTTGTATGTAGTGTGCGCTTGGTGTGCGTGCATTTATTGTCAGTGACCAAAGTCCACACACGTCACTCCAAGGGACTCGCCTTCGATCAGATACCTGCAGATGAAGTGTGGCGTCGGTTGTGAAATTACTTGTCAGCAGGATTAGCGTTGAAACTAATCGACACCCTTGTGAGCTCGAGTGTTGTCCACGCCTGAGTTTACACATGGCCACACCCAGGCAATGCTCGGAACAGTGTGGAACTGTTTAATCAGGTGGGCCTGATATGTGGATCAAAGGTAAATACAGTTCCACCACTTCAACCACAGAAAAAAAAGGATTGAATGCTTTGAAAAGAACTTAATGAATTCCATTGCTGTTTCCACACTTTTCCACAGAAAAAGTGCATTACAACATAGTGCAACACATGGTTCAACAATTATGACTTTAACTCACACGTTATAATCAGTGCGTAATCCACTGAATATTTTGAATTGCTTAGTCATTAGGACATTAGAAGATCCATAAAAACCCAGAGTGAGTTGATCATGTGTCTTGTTTTCTTCCAACCAGCTGTGGAAAACCTACAGATATTCCTCCAGCTGAAATACTAGAGTAAGACAAGTAGATCATTTGCACATTTGGGAAACTGGATCCAACACATTGTTTTGTTGAAATATGAAAACATAAAAAAAATCCAACCAATAGAATCCCAGGTGTGGTGTTGACAAATGACAATCTCCGTGCCCTCGTTGTGGCTGCGTTTATTAGTTTGAGAGTGCTGTATGGGTGCTGCCTTTAACTGGGTTCTTGCACTCGTATTCGTGACTGTGCAAATCAGTCCGAGCAAGGCTGTTTGAGTGTGAAGGCTGGATTTTGTGTGAAAAAGTGTACAATCTGAACATAATGGCCTGCTCTCTAACCGAAAGACAATGCTCTGGTATAAAGAGAGGGGGGGAACATACATATTAACATATATATTAATATAGATGCACAGAAGAGGAAGTATTTCAGTGCAGTGCAGTTTGTTCAAGTAATACAACAGTAGATTGTTGGTGGAAATGAACATAGCAGCAGATGTGTGTACATAACCTCCCAGTGCAGTTATGAGGATTCTGTAAGTTATCATTCATGTTGTTATCGTCATGATCTCAACTTGCCTCACTGAACTCTCTCTGCCGTCATATCACCCGATCACTGTAACATTCCTATTTCTTCTGATATCACGCAGGTCGTATCATCTGGCTCTAGTTCATGTCTGGTGTCTTTATGTACAGGGAACACTGTCAGCAACCTGATCATGATCATTCCTCCCATCTGCGGGGCCATCCAGACGTATCGTGACGGCCTCGAGTTCCGCTACATCTGCTCCTTCCTGGGACTCGCAGGTTAGAAAGTTAAAACAACTATGGCTCTACACATTAGTGACAATACTGACGCCAACTCTGCTCTTGTTTACATGGTTTAGTGACTGTCAGCAGTCAATAACGATAACGATGCCCTGTCATCATAATGCATGCATGGAAGAATGTCTTGACATTTCATTGGTCTGAATGTTTTGTGGGGTTGTGTCTCATCCAGCTGTCGGTGTTGGTTCCTGGTGCTTCCACATGACTCTGCTGTATGAGATGCAGGTGGGCCACAGTGTTACAGTTAAATCTAAATTATATATATGTACATCATCTATCTAATCTATTATTAATACCTCAATTTCTTGCAGCATGATTTTGAAAATATGAGCTCAAATATCTGTGAAAGAAAAAAAAAAAAATCATAAATATAGAACAAATATACAGCTTTTTTCATCCATATAATATTATGACCTTTTTCTTGTTATATAGCAACTTTACTTCACAACATCATTCTCGAAATCGCAGAATCAATTTCCTTTTCTTCCAGTTGCCCTAATACTCTGCTGCTTAATGCTATGCTAAATGATGCTATAATAACATCCTGTGGTGATGTATTCATATGGTCTCTCTGTATTCTCATTCGCAGCTACTGGACGAGTTGCCAATGATTTACAGCACATGTGTCTTTGTCTACTGTCTGTAAGTGGCTCCACTCTCACGTCTGATGGAGAATAGCTGTAGTGTGATATTGCATGTAAACTGAACCAGTGACTCCCTGCCTGATCATGTGTCACATTTCCAAGACATAAGAGTCATCCTCTAGTGGACTGTATGTAATGGATCTATTGATTCTAAACTGGACGTGCTCCTCTTCTCACTTCAGCTCAGCGTGTTATTTCCTTGCATTCTTTATGGTTATTCAATCTGAACATGGAAGTTAAACATATTTCACATGTTCCTTTTTTTCAGATATGAGTGCTTCAAAGAAAAAAACACCATTAGTTTATTTACTATAGCATTATTACTAATCTTCAGCGTGTCAGTGACTCTGGTGAGTTTTCACTTTCACTACATGATCATTATATTCACCCATTTAATAAATGAACCGTAGCATCCATCATACCCTCCTGACTAGCTGCTGTGTTTATGTTTGACAGGTTTACCTACAGTGGAAGGAGCCAGTGTTCCACCAGGTAAGGGAGGGCTCTGTGTTATCACCTGGCTCAGATTGCTCATTGTTTGCTGTCAGGGCTCAGTGTGCCTTAGGTCACTTTGACTTTGTGCAAACACTTGGCTTTCCAAACATAGCATGCAACATTGTTTGCTGTTTTAATAAAGGCTCTACAGGTTTTAACGTTAATGTAGCAGCAACAATTATGTAAATATACATCGGAGTAAGTCACGCTCCTTCTTTGTGTATCTCAGTGTGCGCTTCTCTGGTCTTTGCTTTGGTTTCGGGTGCACGTTCATGTCTCTCTCCCAGCCCCCTCCACATTTGTAAACCAAGATGGCTCCAGCTCTGACTGATAACAATGATGATAGTGATAGGTATACACACCCAGGTGGAGGCATGGCGCTGTTTAACCAAAATTCCTGCAGCTATGGGCGGCACAAGGGTGGAATGATACCAGCCATGCTAACTGGCTGGTGGCTGCAATAGAGGCCCACAGAGAGAGCTTCAGGCTGCAAGAGGGAGTGGGGCCCAAAATGAACTTTTAAAATCAAACATTTTCTGACCACAGTTTCTCACACGGAAGCTCCGATCATGGTCTCGAGCACCAACCCGCTGATGAGAAGGGATTTTACCAGTCTGCATGGCAGCTAGCTGGACTGCTGTTGACTCCCCTTCACACAAGGTCACTTTAATCAGTTGTGCCTCTGGTTGTGTTCACTTTCACTGGACTTTTCAACATCTATAGACTGCATCATAACACCCTGCTGAGAACAGAGTGGGCGTGAGGTGTGACTGATGAAGGAAGGATAATGAATATCATATAAACCGAATGTAACTCTTATCAAATCAGTTATGCAACATTTAATGACATTTGTATTCCCTTTTTGTCTTGGACGTTATCTTTTCATCTGTTTGTAAGTCAGCAGGATTATGTATACACTACTGGACAGATTAGTATTCAACTTGGTGAAAGGAGGCGTTATGCATCAGGAAAGAATCCATCATGCGGGTTGATAAAGGAACAATATGAGATTCGTTTTTCCTTCATTTCTTAGTGAAGAATTCGTGGATCACGATGGAAAATATCAGGCATGTGTATGGGACGGATATTTATGAGTTTGTGCAATTTTGATTTAGTGAATTAAAATGTTGTTTCATAAGTTCGGCCTTGGTGGAGGTATATATATACATTCTGGGTTTATAGCATGTTACAGATCAGCTAAGTATTTGTGCAGGTGTAAAAAACGTCATGCTATTGTTTCTGTTTAAGTTAACTGTTGTCTTGGCTACGCAGTGTTTGTACCCTTATGGTTTGTACCTGCAGAGTGTCACATTGTGTGTGTGTGTTGCATAACAACAGTGAGGACAATGTGAAAAAGCTGCTTATGTTTACTCTCTGGAGGTGACTTTGTTTACTAATGACAGAGCTCCATGGTGGTTCATAACAAGACTGATAGTGTTCCTGACGAAGCACAATGAGCCAACAAAGAGACTGGAGTCAAATGGTAACTTGTGAATGATGAGAAACGATGGAGTGAACATGAATTGACAGTTCAAGCAAATGAAATGATGCAGGTTTTGTTTATTCAAAGTTTTGAGCAACGTTTTTTTCAAAAAAGAAACAATTAAAAGGTCCAGTGTGTGAGATTTAGGTGAAAGGGAACTATTGGAAGAAATGGAATGTAGAATAATCCTCATGATGTTTTCACTAGTTCAGGTTCAAGTTCTTTTTTCATGTTCGGAAGGAGAGGGTGAGGTGAGGGGTGTTCAGCTGCAACATGCAATTTCAACACTAGATATCACAAAATTCTACACACTGAACCTTTAATCAAACACTAACAAAATATATATATTTTTTAATCACAAGAAAGAGCAGGATTCAGGAACATTAAACCAAAAACAATCAACTCATATATATAAAACAGTGTAGAGTGTTAGGAATGAAAGAGAGTTCATGTCTTTTGGTTCTGCTTGTGGCCACTATGTGCTCCTGTGGCGCTGAAGCAAAGAGCAGGGAGGTGAGGCTGCAGGCAGGAACCTGTGGACAGGGGATGAAGTGACCTTGATAATGTGAGAGAGGCAACGCAGGGTGGCTTTTTCCCAACTTCCACTCAGTGATGGAAGAGAGAGGATGAGGATAATCCTGCAGCATCATCTTTGTACCCTCTCCAGCTCCTCACAGAGGCCTGTTGTCAGCCCCCTCCCCAGACTGGGCTAGCAGAGAAAAAACAAAATGGAGGAATAGTTAAAAGCATCATTTGATGTGTTATTGTTCTCTGATTTTTTTTATCATCCGGTGACTGCTCAGATTCAAGTGGGTCATCACGTTAAGCTCCGGTGACCTGATGAAAATTAGAAAATAGTCAGTAAATGTTTTATCTGTCATCCACCAGTTCTCACTGTGTTCTAAAGTCAAATAACTGTCCCTTGTTTTAGGTCATGTATGGAGCTCTAGTAGCTTGTCTAGTGTTGCGCTCCATCTTCATTGTAACATGGTGAGTTTTCCAAGAGGAGCATTCAAATCTTAAGTATTACCACATCAAATGAAAGTGTCATTCATGTTCTATAAAGTAAAAACGTGTTGACGGACATTCTTTGTTGTTTCTGTTTGAATCGCAGGGTGTACCCCTGGCTCAGACCGCTGTGTTACACCTCCTTGGGTATCTTCTTGTTAGGATTCCTACTGTGGAACATTGACAATATCTTCTGTGACTCATTAAGGTGAGGATTTGCAAAGTTCATTATCCCCCCCATTAGAGCTGTGGTTTGGAAAATGTTCAAATCAGTGATATTTACCTTTTTGTGGCATCATGACAATTGAATGCATTTTAATCTTAGTAAAGACATGCTCATGCACTACTCAAACTTTAACTTAATTTGTTTTTTCTATGATTCATGTCTAGATACTGTGTATTAGTAAGTAAGTAAGTTTACTTTATTTATGGATCCCCATTTGGTGGGCCTCTCATCTTCCTGGGCCCCTGAAATAAGAAAGAGTATTAGCCACTTAAAGGGAAAATAAAAAATCAGAGATTTCAAGAATAGAGTCATAATTTTACAAGAAAAAAGTCACAACATTACAAGAATACAGTTATAATTTTAAGCTGTGTCATGTGTGGGAATATCAGAAGATCAGCCTGTTGCCTGCATAAAAACAGGAATGTGGAGGATCTTGTTTTACGTTGCACTTGAGAATATGTTTCACAAATAAGGAAATACTTAAAAAGCACATTAGCACCACATTATCATGACAGGACCTAATAAAGATTTTTAAGTTTTGGAGGAGGAAATGTTTCTTAGTGGTCGACTGTAAAGTGATTGTGTCGTTCAGAGGGGTTTTGTAGTTTTTTCTTTATTCACATATTTTGACTTCTTTTTTTAAATCACAGACTTTTAAATGAATTATGGCTCTAGCACCCTGCCTCACACTACTCGCACACTGCACTGCAATATCAAACTATTTTAGGTACTTGTTTTGACATTTAATCAATCTGTCAACATTATCTCTGTATCTCAGAGCCAGCAGAAAAACGCTGCCCTCTGGTGTTGGAGTAGTAACACAGTTCCATGCCTGGTGGCACATCTTCACAGGCCTGGGATCCTACCTGCACATACTTCTCAGGTAAGCTTCTCTTCCAGTAGCAGGGGATAGCAGCTGGAAGTTGTTGGATGTTTTCTGGAAGCTAGGGAAACGAGAACTCAGGGAGCAACTGTCATCCTATAATGGATGCTTCGATCTTTACCACACATCTAAACCTTTCGTTGTGTCCCTAAGAGTGGGAGCCTCTCTGTCTGGCACATTTGAGTTCAATATGAAGGTCCCTGAGTGTAGACGTGACAATTTACAGCTAGTTTGCTCTTTATTTACAACCTGGCCTTGGGTATTGCTAGGAGGGAAGGGAGTATGTGTTGACAGACTCTGTTCTCCTGATGGTAAACGAAAGCAGATGTGCTTTCTGAGGATGCTCAAAAAATGTGATTGGTGAGTTGTGTTCACTGAAGTTAAGTGTTTGGTTTTTTTTTCAGCCTGCAGTTCAGGTCAACCTACCTCCAGTACAGACCAAAAGTAATGGTATGTGTAGCGCTCAGCCTTTGCATATATTGGAACTGTTTTCATTCCTTCTTGAAGTCAACCACACGTGTCCTGTTCTGTCATTGTTCAGTTCCTGTGTGGAGTTTGGCCCACGTTGCAAATTGAGCCACAGAAGATGAGCTGAGTTGAAGGGACGGGCAGCAGCTTGAGGATGGTGACTGCCATAATCCACACACCATCGGCACAGGGACCTGCCAGTGCCCGCTGCTGGGAGCTCAGCCACCAGGCAGGGGGCAGGTGGACCCTCAGACACCACCCCAGGGAGCCTTCGGTTCTGCGCTGTGGGAATTTACTAAGTACAGTATAGCACTGATTCCAGTTTTAAGAAGTGGAAGATTTTCCTCATCAATCATAACGTGTTAGACTAGATCTTTATTGTAATTTCATGTCATTTTCAATGCAGACATGATTTGTAGTCCACTGCACTGGTAACTGTTGAATGGTTTATAGTTGTTAGTTTGATTAGAGTTTGGGAAAATAATTCACATTAGCTTATTAATCATGGTATGTTCGATTCCGTGAATGTTTGAATCCCCATTATCCTAATTATATTCAAATAGATCCCTCAGCTAAAGGTTAACTAAGACTATTGCCTATGTGTAGTTTTAAAAGTAGTTGAAGGAGCTGTATCAACAACTCAATGTATTCATATCCCTTTTCATGGAGTATCATATTGTGTTTGTTTGTGCTCACTACATGTGCGGTGACACTAACTTCCTTCAGGAGCAGCTCCGCAGCAGTCCGAGTTTGTGATTCCAAGTGTTTTATCATTCAGGCTTCATTTTTTACTCAACATTTTCATATTAAGACTGGAAATCTGTATTTTGCTGTTGTTGCCAAAGTCGCTCTGGGATTAAAAACATTCATGTAATCTTACCTCATTCAAAACAAACTAGAAATGCAGCGCTTACATATAGTTTTGTTACGATACGTCATTGCACTGACTTTTCATTTTTGTTCAGGACTGGGGTAAACTTGGTTCAGCTAAATGGAGCTGAATACATTTTAACAAAGTTATATTACACCTATATTACATCTACGTCCTTTATGTAGTTGTTTAAGTTCACACAAGTTCGTGGTCTCTGAAGGACCAAGGCCTGAGAGACACTTTTCAAACTCACAGGGATTTTGTGTTGAGTTTTGTGTTGGGTTATTGTATCAGAATAACAATCAGCTTCCACTGTGAATGTGTTAGATGTAGAAACCACTTTGTTGGGATCAGACCAGTGTATTGAGTGTGATCAAACATCAGTGGAAATGCTCCATCAGTGTGTCTGCAGTCTAACTCAAGCCAAACCACTGGTCAGATTATTACAGCTGATGAGTTCGGCTCACATGGACGGCAGTATGAGTGAAGATGATGATAGTTGAAACCCAGCTAACGAAACCAGCTACAAAGATGAACTGTTCATGAAGCTTTTTTTAAATTATTATAATAGTTGATATTCAAGGGACCAAGTGCATGAATGGAACATATCTGAATGATTGCATCTTATTGAGCTGCAGAGAATGGATCACTAGACACAGCCAGTTCTGGGAAGCTTTTTCTCTCGTGCTTCCTTTGTATCTGTCACAACAGTGAACAGTATTGTGTCCCGATCTTATTATTATTTGATTTACAGATCTACAGACCTACAGATTCAAAACTCTAACATCTCCCCAAAACACTGCAAGACTTTATTTATTTCTTCTTTTCTTCAATGAATGTGGCTTCAAGATGGAGTGAAATGCACATGCACACCTTGCAGAGGTGTTGAACAGACTCTGATACAGCTCCGAGGTGGCAGAAATATCCAGCTTATTTCAGACATTGCCAAGCACATAAATAACCTGTAGCTACTGAGAAAAATGCTAATGATCTGAGGACTGAGTTTTCTTGTGCTGGATCTTTTGTGTTAAGCGAAGGGCTTTTTATTTACTATTTTTTTTGGTACTGTGAATTTGTGGACATGTGGTAACAATAGAACCTGAGGTAACTGGTGAACTGGAAGATGCACAATATGATCGCTGTAAGAAGACACTTGTATTTGCGTTGTATTATCTCGTCCTTTGATTTTCATTATTCATACATACATACCGTGTCACCAACCCGTATATATGCCTGAGTGTAACAGCTGCTTAGAGCCAGTGTTACTAGCATTGAAAAGCACAGAAGTACAATATATGGAAGAGAAGTATTAACGTCTCTGTGTGAGTTATCACAGCTCATCAGCTGTCAAAGAGGGTGCCTTATTGTTATCCTGGCAGTGTAATCCAAGTTGCCTTGTTGTCCTTTGTGTTGTGTGATGTGTCCTTCCCCCTGGTTATTAACAGTGAAAGCATCAGGAGGTCGAACAACAACAGCTTCTAATGCAAAGTGTGTGCCTGAGTCTTTGGCCTTCCATTCATTTCATGTGTCCAACAGCTTAGTTACAGGTCGTTCTACTGATGTTAACTGTGTTGAAATACTTATTATACTTATGTGTTGAGGCCAGAAGAGCAATTTTATTTGAGCTGAACTTTGATGAATCCCTGTATTGTCAAATAAAAGAAAATGTTTCGGACTAAAACTGTTTCTCGCTTCACGTCTGTAACATTTCACTGCTCACTGCAGCCACTAATGACAAATGTACGACACAGAAGGCTGCAGTGTAAGAAATCATTGAAATACTAACATGAATCTTCATCTACAGTTTTGTGCATGTTATTATAGACAATGTTAACTTTTATGGGAGATTGAATTGACTCATTCAACGTGAAGGTGTGGCAGTCGTTTATTGGCCCTGGCACAAACACTCTATGCACTGGCATCCATCAGAGAGAGAGGAGTGTTCCGTTAGCTCCTCTGACTCTCATGGATGACGTTAGTTGTCCTGCATTTGAACTAGGAAAACTGGTATTTGTAGAGTGGATTCATATATTTCACTACATCAGAGAAAATATTGGGGGGAGGGAGGGATAAGCACCGTTTTATTTCCAACAGTGTCAGTTCATTTAGAAAAGAGCTGAGGTAAGGTCAAAAATATCCAACCGTGTGTGTCTTATCTCTGTGAGCAACATTCTGCATTTATTTACCAAAAATAGTTTCAGGCTAGAAAGAAACATTCATTAATAAAGATTATATATTTTACAGTATTGTAGATGTATTGTACAAAGGTTTGATTCACTTCACGTATTATATCAGTTTCTCTAGTTTGATATGTTGCCTGCATGCTTAACTTCAGGGCCACTTGCTAAAACATTTGGTTTTGTCATGGCTGCTTGTTGTATGGGGTACTACAAATCTACGGGTCATGGCCTACTGACACACGCACACACACACGCAAACACACACACGCACGCACACACGCACACACACACGCACACACACACACACACCTGCTAATCCTTTGAGGGTCTGGGGAAAGCAGGAGCCAATCTCAGGTGACATAAGCCTAGAGACAGGCTATACTCTGGACAGGACGCCAGTGTTTCGCAGTGCCAACATACAGAGACAAACATCATTGACTCTCAAATGCAAACCTACGGACAATTTAGAGTCTCCAATGAACCTCACATGTCTTTGGACAGTGGGAGGAAGACAGAGTACCTCGAGAAAACCCACGTGAACACGGGGGAGAACATACAAGCTCCACACAGCCAAACTGGGATTCAAACCAGTTCTTTGAACAGTGCTGACCATCACACCACCATGTTGCCCACAGTTTGTCCAGCTATCCTCATTAGGATTTTGCTTTGACTTCTATTCATTATGGACAGCCCTGACAAAACCCTAACCGTAACCATGATCAGTTCATTCCTAACCCTTAAGTCTCACATCTTGCCCCTAACATTCACAGGAACCTCAGAAATTATGTTTAGGTGTCCCATCATGCTCTACTGCAAACACAACAACACAAACAATGCATCCCTGCGTCTTCTCTGGACCCCACGGGCAGTTCCTTGTGACTGACTCATTTCACGCAGGAACTCAGAGAGTTTACAACAAAAACAGCGACTAACTGTTTGAGAGAGGCCGGCTGATGCATACTTTGAGCTGAGTCCACCACACATGTTGTTTTACTAAGGAACAAGGCAGAGTTGCATTGTCAAAGCTACCCACTGAGGTGAGTTGTAGCACCAGCAGGAGGTAGATGTAACAATGAGAGGAAACTTGCTGAGGTATGATCCACACTATCCAGTTTATGAACTTCATTAAAGAAGTAGAGGGGCGCTCAGAAAACTAGCACGTATAACCATTTATTTACTGATGTTCAAACAACAAGAGTTACTACCATCACTGGTTTCCTCTGCTAGGTGCAGTTCAGAGCTTCCTGTGGCTCAGTGTGACCAAACATCACTGTTTTGACAAACATTACTTCACAACTTATTCACCAAACCATACAACACTTGATATGGAGAGATTGAGGAAACTGTCCTTGTTTTGAAGACATGCTGATTTCATTTTCTGTTATTTCATCACCAACACCTAAAAAAAACACTGTGGGCTTGTTCCTGTAAGATTATTACGTTTGTTTTGTTGTGTGTGCAGTAGAGCATGATGTGAACACTAAGATAACGCATAATGACAGTACACAGGGAATAAAGCAATATATACCACAATATAATGGTACAAGTTGTCATACAGGTTGTATATTGTGATACATAATATTTTAACATGGAAATAAGCGGCAAAGGGCAGTGAGTGAACATATGTGACTTATTTCCTTTACCTTTTCAGCTGAAACCTAATTTTGCTTCATGAGCCACAAGGGCAACGCACTCACTCACTCTAATTCCCAGATACTTCTCACATATTGACAGACACCTACTGGGAATAACAGAGGCATAAAATGAAACGAACAACCTGAGCATAAAGTCACAACAAAGAGATTTTGTGAGGCATCATTTCCAACAGTGTTAGAGTCAAACTGTGTAAAATAAAACAAGTAAACTGACGTGCACTGACAAGTACAACTGTATATTGCTTGGCTGCAACTGTCCTCACTCAGGGTCTCCGAGCCACTACAGGCTTCCTTAAAGAAACAATGCACCACAAATGATTCACAAAACCACCACTGCCAAGGAGCTAACTAAAAACTAAAACTCAAAATGAAAGGCGAAGGCTGGAGTCACAGCAAACTCTTCAGCACCAACTTATTCAGTGGGAAAACTACAGGCAAAATTCTTAGTGGTGTGTTTTCAGACACACTGACGACGGGGAGAAGCTCTCACTGCCTCTGAAGGTGAGACAATGAGTCAGCACCGGGCGCTGGAGACTCAGGGTATATGAAGGCTCCCCACACCTGGGCTCAATCACCGCCAATCAGTGCCACACACACCCGGTTGCAGTGAGTTGATTCTCTCACCTCTCTCAGAGCAAGATGGAGCGCCCTCACAATCGTGTTATGAACACACACACATCCTTTCAGGGTCAAATCATTTGCAACAGCATTTTGGTGTTCAGTAAGCTGTGAAAACACAACGGTCATAGCACAGATCCAGAAAATGTCATCTTTCTGTGCACACATCAATCAGACTTTGACACACACACACACACACACACACACTCACACACACACACACACACACACACACACACACACACACACACACACTGTCGATCAGAGGAATCCTGGAGTTTACAAAGACAATAAACTGTCATGTCATCACAACTATGGCGAGTTTCTGCAGAAGAACATTGACACACATATATGACTCAACCTCACTCATGGGTTGAGAGGAGGTGGATGAGAAGAGCAGGTGACCGATCTGGTAAAATCCCTCAACTCCCACATATAAACATAAACATATAATGTACATGGAGAGAAATCCCAGATGTTTATATGTGGGAGTTTTTATTTTGAGTTGCATTTACCTGTTTATCAGGATCTTTTAAATAATGTATTATTTTCTGCTCAAGTTGACAAGAAGGGGGAAATGACAAATGCTTAATGTTTATGCATTTATGCAACAGATTTAGAGCAGTGTGCAGA